TTTAGCTTCTGTTATTAGTTACTCATCCTCATGTTGTTTCAAACCCTAAGATACTTTAGATGAAATCTGAATGATCTCCCTCATCTTCCATAGATAGCGATGTTCCAAGTCCAGACAAATACAACAAAAAAGCTACGAGAATACTTTTGGGCAACACATAAAAGTAAAATAATGACTTTAATTCAAAAGTTTGTTCTCCTCTGTGTCAGTATACGGTGCTATACTGGGTATATTGGGTGAACTAAACCTTTAATTGTAAATGTTGCAAGTCCCGACTGTAAGGACCTGACAGCCAGATTACTGTGAAAACAGGAAAACAAAGAAGACTGGAAATCATTTCTGATCCTCTTCATATTTGTTTACTGAAGATCAATAAATCAATTTTCAACATTGTCAGGCAGTCTGTTTCAACATTCAACAAAATCTTACTTATACTTCCACATACTAATCAACAAAGATGTATTTACTCAGATCATAGCAAGAGCCAAATCACACGACTGCTGTCCTGCCATAAATCCTAAAATAGCAGTGCAGCACACACATAACCAATATTTTACAACCAGGTATTATTTCTTTTTCATGTCAAGGGACCTTCTTAGGGTTCATTCACTATATGTATCACGTCCAAATAAAAGTATAAATGTACTGAAATAAGGTTTCGTTTTTTTTCAGTTCTAAACTATTTAATTAATTTATTATGTAGAGCAGAATAACTAAGCTACCTTTACAAATAACTATATCATGAAATGTGCATATGCACTCACCGGCCACTTTATTAGGCAAACCTTACTAGTACTGGGTTGGACCCTCTTTTGCATTCAGAACTGCCTTAATCCTTTGTGGCATAGATTAAACAAGGTACTGGAAATATTCCTCAGAGATTTTGGTCCATATTGACATGATAGATTTGTCAGCTGCACATCCATCATGTGAATCTCCTGTTCCACCACATCCCAAAAGTGCTCTGTTGAATTTCGATCTGGTGACACAATGCTCAATTGGTTCTAATGGGCCCAAAGTGTGACAAGAAAATATCCCCCACACCATTACACCATCACCATCACAGCATGTAAAAAATTTAAATAATCTCATTTGAATGCATAATGTGTGTGATGTGTGCCATTATAGCTGTTCATTTTTTAACAAATCCACAACATATGGCACAGTCCCTATGTTGTTTACCATGTTATGTTGAATCTTCAGTCTGAAATAGCATGTAAGTGTTACTTCAAAACAACATTAACCCTGTTTAATTGACTGCGCACAATGGTGTCCTTTATTAGTCACTGCCTGCAAATATGTATTCCCTGTTCAGAAATACCAAAGAATATTTTTGTGAAATGTTATTAAGAAGCTGAAAATCTGAATTTACGAACCTGACCCCAATCCTCTTTTTTATTAAGAAGACTTCTAGCTGAGGCAGTGTTCATATGTGATTAATGAAACAATCTTTCTGTGCAAAAAAAACTAACATCATAATTAACGTTACTAACATTACCGTTAATCCACAGCCTCTGCAATCTGCAGTATGAGCATATTATTGTTGCATAATAACATACAAGCATACACAAACTCACAAATGTGCTGATGCCGTCAGTTTACAATAAAGGGTGAAGACCCGTATTTTGTTCCAACTTTTTGTGTTTGTTGAATTTTTCAGACATTTGTTAATTCCCATTTTTTTTGTGGCTAGACGCAGAGCTGCAGACTTTCATGAATGTGCTCAAAACCATTTGATGAGCTTGTAAATTAAAGTAATAATTATAAAACAATAATAATAGTCAGTTTCTTGCACAGACCAGTTACTTTGATTGTTATTATTATTATTTAGATTTTTATGACCTCAATGTATTGTAAGAAGCCATATTAACTGAAAACTGACAAATACCTGATGTGCTAATAAATAAAATCAATACTGAATCAAGATTGAAATACACAGGTGTAAGCATTGCATCAAATACCTTTTAGAGGAAAATGGAAATAGAATGAAAACAGAATTTGGCATGGGAAAGTTATGCCAAACATTATTAAACACTTACAACACAGCTACAATATACACATTATTGCTGGGCTTGGGGATTAACATGTTGAAATCTAAGAGACAGTACCTGGACAGAGTTCAAGTGTGAAGCTCGATCGTTTCTCCGACGCTGTTTTTGAGCTTGGGATCTCTTTCCTTTACGAGGCATTCTTATGAAAATATGAGACACAACAATTAGTTGACAGATGTATCTGATAAACTCACTAATCTGAATACACTAAACACAGGATCCTAAGAGATTTTAAAACCAGGTAAAGATTTACATTTTTTGAAGGAAATAATTTATTTACAATTTGATTGTAAGCCCGCTTAAAATTAAGGGGTGCAAGAAATTTGAGAAATGTCCAAGAATTTTTTTTTTTTTTTTGGAATTAATAAGAATTTTAACAAAAAAATTTTAATTTTTTTATTTGATGCTTAAATCTGCTTGTTAAGTGTGACGTCACGTGGAGCGGCTTCCGGGTCCAATCGCTCTATTCAACTGAATGGGGAGATTCATGAAATGGTGATAATAAACGTTTAGAAAGCGATTTAATACTTTTGAAAGTCACGATCGCAATATATATGTCCATGCCTAATATCCGATGGCCAGAAAGTGATTCATTGTTTTATAAATTGTTAAAATTTTGGTATTTGTTATGCAGCAAACCCAGAGATTGTTGTGTACACTATGACTTTATGTAAAATTAACTTTAATGTGTGATAGGAATAAAACGCGATCATAAACGAATGTTTTCTCCACTCAAATGAATGGCAGCTTGGACCCGGAAACAGTATACATACATCACAAACACGTCACCACTTAACAAGCGGATAACATGATGATGATGTGCAATTGAGTAGTTGTGTCACTCTTTTAAATGACTTTTTTCACCCTTAGGAGGCACATGTAAAGGGTTAGGAAAGTGGTACAAAATATAATTGGGACTGTTTATTTGTGAATCTTTTGAAAAAATAAATTAACTTTAGAAAATGAAATCAATTTAAAAATCTTTAATTAGGCACAGAAACACTTAACAAACAAAAGGGAACTTTCATACCACACTAAAAGTAGTTTGTTCTCGTTTTGAACTCAACTTGGTTAAATTTCAGAAAATAAAATATGAATAGTAATACTAAATTTTGTACTAATAATGAGAATTGTACTTCTCTGGTCCTAGACCTTTTCAAGGCCTCAAATAGCAAGTTAACCCTTTAACTACCCCACCAAGTAAAAAGAAATGTTTGAATTGCATTTCATAACTCCCAATGTCACTAGTTAACACATTTAATGCATTTTTTTCAACACACCCCATGATTTCTAAAATATCAGCCTCTGCCAAATGGTTGATATGTCAGTTTAAGGTAAAAGTACCAGATTTAATACATATACTATGAAAAATCTGAAAATATAAAGAGTAATACCAGTGCATTTTTTTAAAAAATATTCAAAATAAAACACTTTTTTCACACTTTTTCGCCATAAAATATTTCAGATTCTAATTTTTTAGATTATTTCTTTTTTTAAAAGAATAAAACCAAAGTCAAGAGAATTAGTGCAACATGATTATGTTTATTTGATTTTTTTTTGTAAAGCAACAATGTTGTGAGTTATTTAATCCTTAACAGTCGTTTTTAAAACAGTCAAAACATGGTCAACCGTTTGGTAGAGGGGCAGTGAAATGGTTTTCATGACCTGATAAAAAAAACTGATTAAATGTAATGTAAAGAAGAGGCCTTACTCTGAAAAAATCATCAAAACATAATAAAATATTCCTAACGTTACTAATAAACACATTTGTTAATCCAATTAATTTCAGCAAGACATCCTCAATTTAAGGTAAGTTAACATGCACGTACTTTGAAAGGTCCCCTGATGTATGAAGCGCCTCTAAGCCTGAAAAGATGATACCTGTAAACTCAAGAAAAGGTATAATTACTCTGTAAATATAACGAAAGTCTGGACATTGCTTTTAATTATTTAAAAAAAATTAATGTAATTTTTATGTCTTACATATTATTTAGTCCGTTAAGTTAGTTGATTGGTTGATTACTTGAAGATCAGTCAATCTGCATCTTTCCCAATTCCCACCATCAAGAACCGCACAGTGGTGGCCAGGCAGGGGTCCTCATTTCCCAAGTCAATGGTCCTGACTGTACATTGGTCGAATAGAATCTGCAATAACAGCATATGATATGATACAGTTGGTTTCCAATGACCCAACCGGCAGATTACTAGAAAACTGTAGTCCCTTGTTCTTCTTTCATGCTAATACGGAACATAGGCATGCGCAGTCGCGACCTCCTACAATTACAAAATAAGAGTAATTTTTTAAAATAAAAGAAGTGGGCCCGTTGCCTTTGCGATACCTTTAATAATCTGTAAATTTTGAAGCGTCAGCTTCTTTTAACTTAGCTAAAATATATTTATGTCTAACGTTTCATAATTGTATTTCTTGTATAGTTTTAGTAGAGCTAGAAAATACTATAAAACGCTGTATCACGATTTACTTATTCACTCGTCACAAAACTATATATATATATATATATATATATATATATATATATATATATATATATATATATATATATATATATATCAGAAAACCTGTAACCACTGACTTTCATATCAATAGTTACATGTTTCTAGCATTTTTTAAAATATCTTATTTTATTTTTAACAGAAAAAAAGGAAACTCAAACATTAAAAGCTCGACGAGGGTACGTAAATAGTGAGTAAACTATCATTTGTGGCTGAACTATTCCTTTATGTCCACGAATCGGTTCTTTCGAACAGTTAATTTCAGTAAATTCGGTTCCTTAACACGGTCAGGTCTTGTCCTAACGTATGTTTAAAATCCGTACACATTTCGTGTTTTAATTGTATTGCCATTGTATTTTGTCGTTTTAAACAAACAAAATTGTATTTTGTCGTTTTTTTGTCATATGTAAACACGTCTATCTGTATGGGAAAATTGGCTTATCTCTGAAATGTGAGAGTCAATTCGCCGAATTACTGTAAACCGATTCAATCGATTGATTGAAATGATTCGACTCAATCAAACAAATCTTGACAAATTTAACACATCAGCAGCAGCGCCCTATTGTTTATAACTAAAGAGGCTTACTCTGTCAAATAAACATACGGTAATGCCACATTTGCCGTATAAATCAGATTTAACTTCCTCCGGAATGATTGGTTTGTCAAACTCTGCAAGTTGCATAAGTTAACTCATTTTCGCCACGGTCAGAAGCAACAGGTGTGTATTAAAGATAAGTGCGCCATAACTTCACAACCCGGCTGTTTGTAAAGCAATTTAACACAAGGAAACAAAAGACACTCATTCAGCTTTCCCTTCTCTATTTCGCTTGGAGTAGCAGGTTTTGTATGTGTGCGCCGGGGAAGATTTTTGTCAGAGGTGACGCAAATGCTGTGCGCCGTCCTGGTCGCTCCAGAGAGTAGACGAGAACATTTGGCCAGGTAAACAAAAGTTTTACACTTGGACAGAGCACAACACATCACACATTCGGCTTTTTAATTTAAGCATAAATATACAGGTGACCCTTAAATTTGGCATTATCATCGTTTGAACGGTCTGGTGTGTTATTGTATTGACCGCAGACGCTGCAGACTGCGAATTATGCTAATCTAGCTGTCAGGCTACTGGACATTACAGTTGAGCAAGTACTACTAGCACACGTTTCATTATGGCGAACAGCAGATTGACCGTTTATAGTTAATACTTAACTACATGCTGTAAGAAAATAAATGGTCATTCTTTAGTGCAAAAGACACTCATATTTATTGTCTTGCTAGCCTTTGAAAACACACAGCCAAGTTTATATAGCGTTCTGTAGACAAAGTTAGTCGTACGTTTTAAACATTGAATAGCAGGTAAGCCACATTACTGTGTAAATATAACGTTTCATTCAGATGATCTTATCTAATTGGAATTAACGTTATGTGATTACTTCTCTTATTTAAAAAAAAATATTGGCTTCCATGATTGTCCCAAAAACCTGTTGGCTAATTTTGATCAGCAACATCATAAGGATGCAATTTCCTCAGTTCTGTTATACAGGCACAACATGCTTATACAGTGCGCAGAATAATGCAGAAATTGAGAGCAGTAATGTCAATGTGTCAAGCTAAAAATATATATATTTTTAAAACTATGAACATATAAATTAACTATAATCTCGCATAACCAGATGGATATAGTTTATATAGTCTCAGATACCTTATAATCAAACTATCATAATACGATACACTGACCTTTTAATTGTTAATGGCCTATTTTAATTGATTTTTTTCAAGTAAATGGGACAATGCAGAATTTTGTTTATTTATTTTCCTAAAATGGGTTAAATACCCAAACTTTTTATTGGCTTTTTAAAATATACATTTTATTTTTTTTAAATTTTATTTGGTTAAAAGGCTTTAGCATGCTTGTATGCCAAAATAAGTATAGTATTTAAGATAAGCCAAAGCAAATAAATGAACAAATAAATAATTAAGTAGTTGATAGCTAATCACGATGACAAATTTGTAGCAAGAAAGGCCACTTTCAAATAAATAGCTGTTTAACTTATGCATCTCTGTTGTCATAGCTATGATTTTATTTACCTTCTCTGTCAAAATGAAATGCAGAGCTGATTCAAGCATATCCTTATTACCAGTGTTGGCTACTTTAAAAGTAGAGTCAAGTAACACATTACTTTAAAAATTAAGTAATAATATTTTAGTTACTTTTTTAAAAATGTAAAGCAAGTTACTTTTGAGATAATTTAATAAACTTAAAAAAAAAATAATTAGCTGAATTAAAATTAGTGTAAACATGTTGAATCACACTTAATAGGAGAATTAGCTCACTGCGGGAACAGACAGAAACCATGATGGCACAGCTTTACATTTGTGATGGAAGTATTCTCATTATTTTGAACATGTGGAAGAAAAAGGTATTGTAGTCTCAATGGACAGTGATTTTTGCTGAACTAATAAGACTAAAATAACACAAGTAGCAAACACATTGCTTACAACTTTAATCTTTATATATGGCATGTGTAGCTTCAGGTAGTTCTCAGAAGGTAACATTGTTCAGTTTTTTTATTCATTTGTTTTAAAGGTAAATGAAGGTGTAGGTTATACAGTGTGTCGTTAAATGCTGAGCTCCTCTATTTGAAAAAAGAAAAATACCCTGCAAGTTCTGAAAGAGATCAAGCCTCAGGCAGGTGTGAAAAAGTAACTCAAAGATAGCGTAACGCATTACTTTCCATAAAAATTAACCAAGTAATGCAACTAGTTACTTTTTTGGGGAGTGACTCAATATTGTAATGTATTACTTTCTAAAGTAACTTTCCCCAACACTGCTAATTACTACGATCATATGTTTTCGTAACTTTTGTCACTGAGGGGAAAACACACAAAACTTATTTACAAATTCTCCAAACATATATGTGCTTGCTAACAGTATTTCACTCCAAATGTATTCCGATTTTTAGCAGAAAATGAACTTTTATGTAAGTAAATAGATATTCTGTATTACATTTCAGCCTACTTTGTTACACAAGTGCAAGCACAGATAATAAGTTGCTGCAGTTTTTTGCTAATTACAATTTTGCACAGCCCCGTTAACAGTTTATTTATTAACTTTTGAACAACTGGTCTAACCTATACTATTGCAATGTCTTTTATTGCAGGTATTTGTCATCCATGTGGGAATGGGGGATATGAAGACCCCAGATTTCGATGATCTGCTTGCAGCATTTGATATTCCAGACATTGATGCCAAAGAAGCAATTCAGTCTGACACTCATGGCAATCATAATGAACACAGTAGTGTAGTTGGAAAGGAGAGAAGTGGAAGTCCTTCCCTAAGACCTTCAGGAAGTCCTGATCCTCCTCACAATGACCCTTCCGTGGTCAGCGTGATTGTAAAAAACAGTGTACATTCAGATGACAAAGCCGAAGGGAATGAAACTGGGGAGTTTTCTAGTGCAGATGAATCACAAAAGTCTCCCCAGAAAGGTCCCAGTAAAGATAGCTCAGTGCCTACTGATCCATTTATCTATAATGGACTCAAAAGCGTCTCAGATGGGTCTACAGAATCCCCCCCATCACTAGATCTAGCACCAGGGCAGCATAATGGCCCCCTTTGGTCTCTTTCTGCCTCTAAAGCTACTGGTGATGATGACAAACATAATGACGCTTTTACTAATCACCCTGCCAGCACTTTTCAGTCTTTACCTCTGAGTAATCACCCCAGCGTATCTTCACATTTAATTAGTCCAAACTTTTCTTCCAAAGTTGATTCTGAGGAAGCACAAGCAATAAATGGCACTTTAAGGGCAGGAGTTCGTCGGCACCAGTCTGAAGATGAAGAATCTGAACCAGACCTTGGCAGTCCTGCTCTTGTCATACAAGAGAGCCCCATTTCCCAGCTGTGCCCTGCTCCCAAGGTCCCACGCATGCAGCGGTCCCCTTCAAGTGTGTTTCAACCGCCTTCTCCCTCATCGCCTTCCTTACCTGTCAGTAACACCCAAATGGAGGAACCCTCTGTACAGCATCCAAAACTACACAGCAGCACCAACCCAACATCTCTGACCTCCACAAATAATCTACCAGTTGAAGAAAAAGATCTGGAGCATATAATTGAGGAGAGAGATTCTCCTGAGAGCCCTGAGCCAGAAATCTCTCAATCTCGTACATCTCTTCCCTCAAATTCACAAGGAGCCATTGAGTCAAAACAGAGGATAACAAGAGAAGAAGCCCCTCAAGATGAAGTTATGGACGTGAGCATGCAGGAGAAGGTGGATTATGGAGCTGAGGCGACAGAAGGGAAATCTACTGAGCCTACTTTGGTGGAATCGGCCTCTGATGCAATCTCCAACTCGGCTTCTTCCAAGCCTCTCAAAATGAGAATCAAGACTGTCAAGAAACCAGTTGTAAGCATTACACGCACTGTATCTAAGGCTGCTACCAAAGGTGGAGCCTCTAAGGGTTCTGGTGCCTCTAAAGTTCAAGCAGTAGCCCGTAAGTCACTGCAGAAGATTCCGAGATCTGTTGCTTCTCCTCAACTGCTATCTCAGAGTACAAAGGTCGCGATGTTGCCCGTGTCCACCCTTCAGGATGCCAGCACGGCTATGTTGTTTGCAGCCAGCAGGGCACAGAATCAAATGCCCACTGCTCTTTCGGCCACTGCAGTCAACATCACCAGAACATCAAACCTCCCTTCCATCTCTTCCTCATCCATTCCTGGAGTTAACGTTCGCGCTGCTTCAGGCCAGAAAACAAACACTGGAACAGCTAAACCAGCCTCAATTGTGAACAGTCCAGGAGCTGTGATCTCACGCAGCCAATCTAGCCTTGTTGAGGCTTTTAACAAAATCCTGAACAGTAAGAATCCACTGCCAAGTTACCAGCCAGACCTCACCTCTCTGCCACCCCCAGAATGGGGTCTTCGATTGCCCTCTACCGGATACCGTTGTCTCGAGTGCGGAGATGCATTTGCTTTAGAGCGCAGCTTGGCGAGACACTACGATCGACGCTCTATGAGGATTGAGGTGACCTGTAACCACTGCTCCAAACGGCTGGCTTTCTTCAATAAGTGCAGCCTGCTGCTCCATGCACGAGAACACAAGGAGAAGGGGCTGGTCATGCAGTGTTCTCATCTTGTCATGAGTCCTGTCAGTGTGGAGCAGATGATTGGCCAGCAGGATACTGTGCCTATAGGTTTGTGTCTATCTCCATATGTCTATCAAAAATCTTCAATATTTCTCATGAACCAACTAGACATGCGATTATGTCAGGGGTTTATAAACCTGTTTCTGGAGGGTTGGTGTTTTATAGAGTTTAGCTACGTCAATTCTTGATTCAAACCTTTATGAGTCTTTATGAGTTTGAGTTCACTAGATCCATTCTGAGGTGCACCCAGCTCTGTAAGTTCATAAACTCCTCTAGAAACTAAATGTGGATGATGGAAGCTTTCAGCAGTGCTTCCGAGCTGAGCCCAGTTTGATGAACTGTCGTCTGGTATCGGCATAAGGATTTTTTTACCACCATTTGTCATAATCGCATGCCTACAAGAGCAAGCTCCTAATTAGTTAACGTGGTGCGAATGTTCACTGAAGTTCAGATATTTTAACTCAAGCGATTTGTGTTGCCTTAAGCCTGGTTTATACTTCTGCGTCAAGTGATCGGCATGACCCATGGCGCATGCAATGCACGAAGCTGTGCATTTATACTTATGTTTCTGTTGTTCTGCAATAACACTTCTGAAACGCTAATTGGCAGTGAGGTATTAATATCCTCTGTGCCGAGTTTCTTCGCTGGTGTTTTGTTTTTTCTAAACGTTTCCTTAATGTACAAGTGGCTCAAACTCGCTCATTTTGAGGCAGGAACTGGCGGACATTCAACAACTTTAACCATGAGGTAAAGACAAAACAAAACTTTCCATCCGGAGCTCCTTCCCGGCACTCCACACTTGTAAACAATGTCAGCGATGCAGACAGTCGGTCACGACGTACTGTAGGGCTATGCATCAATTCATAGGCTGCGCCGTAGCATACATATGCGCTTGACACAGGAGTACAAATCAGCCTTTTTTCGTGCGTATCACACGGCAGGATGTCTATTCCTGTTTTTGCATTGAATTAACAAGTAAACGACTTGCACCTGATGCTTCTGTTACTGGTGTAAACGCAGCATAAGGTGTTTTTAATATATATTTTTTTATATTATATATTTTTTTCCTTTTTTTCCCGAAATTTCCCAAATGATGTTTAACAGAGCAAGGAAATTTTCACAGTATGTCTGATAATATATTTTTTTCTTCTGGAGAAAGTCTTATTTGTTTTATTTCGGCTAGAATAAAAGTAGTTTTTAAATTTTTAAAAACCATTTTTGGAACAAAATTATTAGCCTCTTTAAGCTATTTTTTTTATAGTCTACAGAACAAACCATCGTTATAAAATAGCTTGCCTAATTACCCTGACCTACCTACTTAACCTTATTAACCTAGATAAGCCTTTGAATATCACTTTAAGCTGCATAGAAGTGTCTTAAAAAATATCAAGTAAAATATTATTTACTGTCATCATGGCAAAGATAAAATAAATCAGTTATTAGAAATGAGTTATTAAAACTAATATGATTAGAAATGTGCTGAAAAAAAATCTTCTCTCCGTTAAACAGAAATTGGGGAAAAAATAAACAGGGGGGCTAATAAATCTGACTTCAACTGTATATACAATAGTTTCTAGAACAATGCTTGGTACATTTACTTTGTTAAATCACACTTTAATATTAAATACATTTTTTATTTGTTATTTATTTTAGCACTTACAATTGCTTACAAAGTAAAACATGACATTTTGTAAGGTTCAGTAGGGTAGGGGTGATAGATAGATGGATGGATGGATGGATGGATGGATGGATAGATAGACAGATAGATAGATAGATAGATAGATAGATAGATAGATAGATAGATAGATAGATAGATAGATAGATAGATAGATAGATAGATAGATAGATAACACAAATTTTGATAAGCTAAAGGAATTTAAATTGAACTGTACTATTTTAAGCACTTTTTAAAAACAAAAATTAATTAAATTTATTTGGATTAAGCTAAGTTGTACAAAACTAACATTGAAGACAAGATTATTATGTTACACAGTTTTTTAGAAGAATATTTTAGTTTGCTGCCATTAAAGTTTTTAAGAGTTGCTTTTCTATTTGTGTCTGAAGAAAAGATGACATTTGTAAAACATTCCAGGAGTAAAAACAGTGATGAAACCCATAGCTACATGTAACAGTAGAAAGTATGCCCATGGGGACCAGCGCAGAGATCAACCAGTCACTCTCTCTGCCCACAGGGAATCTGTGCACTGCAAAACAAAGCATTCAAGCATTGATGTGGAATAAGTCCGTTGAGGCGTGTTCGTTCTTGTTCTCACACTTTTCAAAGAACAGTCTCTGGGCTCAGTGCTGTCTAATGCATTTGGGAGTTGCACTATTAGGCCTATAGTGCACTTGATAATTGGCCACAATTATGTAGAATAATGCATTTAATTAACCCATGTCCAGTTGAGAATGTTTTTTTGTTTGTTTTTTTACAATGATATGCAATAATGTTGATTTTATTTCCGTCTATTACAGGTGTGCTCTCTCCAGCCGTCTCTGCTCTGTCTGCCATTAAAGAAAGTGGTGTCAATTTGTCACAATCGTCTGATCACAGGTGACACCACACTGTTAGATTATGGTTATTTAGTGTGTGTATTAATAAGAAAGGAAGGACTCAGCAGTCGTTTAATGGTATTAATGGAAACATTGAGTGTCTGAGGGGTTAATATGCAGTCTGATATGTCTGTTTGCTTAATTTTTGCAGCTGTCCAGAGTGTTGGAGTACATTCAAAGGGAAGCAAGAATTGGTAGCACACTTCCAAGAAGTGGAGCCTGGCGGCACTGACACGGTCAGTGAGTGAGTGAATGAGTGCCTGGAAAATAGTGGTCACCAGATCAGACTTTTGCCCTGCTTGTTACAAAAATGACTTGCACGCTTCAGAGAAATGTATGCTTTTTAAAATATGTTTTAGTTATTATTATTTAATAATAATAGAAAATACCAATTAATAATATCATTATTATGCATATTTAATTTAGAGAAATAGCCCATCTAAACAATTTTGGTAGCTGGAAACCTCAGGCAATTCAAAATGTATATGTGACCCTGGGCCACAAAACCTGTCTAATGTATCATAATTCATTTTTTTTATTAGTAATATGTATTTATTATAGACTACTTTTAAGATGGTTTTCTTAGTCTTTTCTTTTTCTCAGTCTTGTATTTTATTAACCCTCTGATTCCAGATTTTTAAATGGCTGTATCTATTAATCTATTAATGTTGTCTTATCTTAAACCAGGGATCACCAAACTTGTTCCAAGAGGGCCGGTGTCCTGCAGATTTTAGCTCCAACCCTAATCAAACACACCTGAATGAGCTAATCAAGGTCTTACTAGGTATACTTGAAACACCCATGCAGGTGTATTGAGGCAAGTTGGAGCTGAACCCTGCAGGGCACCGATCCTCCAGGAACGAGATTGGTGACCCCCGTCGTAAACCATACATCAAAGTATCTTCTTTATTCAGATTTCATGTGATGTTTAAAAAAACTGTGAATTACAGGTTTTGTGGCCCAAGGTACATTCTTTTTTTTTTCATCTAAGTATACTATGGGCTTATACAAGCGTATGACCAAACTCTTAAACAATCAGTGATATTAGAAGTAATACATGGAATGTGCATCCATCAAAGTACCCCATGTGAAGATATCACAAAAAAAAAATTAAATCAACTTTTTTTTTTTTTTTTTTAACCCAATCTTTAAAAGAAAGTCTAGAATCAATCGACACAGAAATGTCTTGTGTTCTGTAACAGCTTTTACTCTTTGCCCATAAGCTTTTACAGGCTTTAATCTGCCTGATACAAAAACATCTAGATCTACACTTGGCCTATCAGTTTTGGTAAAAGTGGTAAAAACAAAACATGCACATTGCTGTTGAGATTTTCACCTTTAATGTCCCCATGAACCAGAAGCTGCAATTGTTATTTGTTTCGCATTGTGACGCAGTTCCTAGAGAAACGGAATATTAAATGACACAACAGTGTGCGAGGATTGTTTTTCTACGGCCAGCTGAATGGATATAGTAAAGTACGCATTTCCTTCAGAAAAATTAGTAAAAGGGTTTAGGGAGAGTTACTACAGCCTAACAGACACCTTCTCCTCACCATTTCTGTTTTTGTCAAAACTGGCAGGTGCAGCAGCGTGGTTAAATATGTTAGGCCCAACAAATTCCTAAGATATACATAATCTGAGAATTTAACTGAAAACAATCAAGAAGTGCATTTTAATATTTTAATAAAAGATTTGAAGGGCAAACAATGTCTTTTTTTTCTTAATGACATGCGTAGATGAATTGTTCAACACAACACTGGCAATGTGAGCTAACAAAATCATTTGGTTACTTTTGATTTCTCTGGGACTTTAAGCAGCATTGTTTTAGCTAAGCTGTGACGTTTAACATCTAATGATACTGTATGTACATCTACAACTTGTGACACTCTCCATGCCTCCTTGTAACTCAATACGTTTTCTCCACATACAATTTGGTTTTAGTGTTGGTACAGAGAGAATTTAAATTATACAGTTGAAGTCAAAATAATTTGCCCTCCTGTGATTTTGTTTTGTTCTTTCCTATTTCAAATATTTCTCAAATAATGTTTAACAGAGTGGGGAAATTTTCACAGTATGTCAGAATATTTTTTTTCTTCTAGAGAAAGTCTTATTTGTTTTATTTCAGCCAGAATAAAAGCAGTTTTTAATAAAAAAACATTTTAAGATCAATATTATTAGCCCCCTTTAGCAATACATAATATTTGATTGTCTACAGAAGAGACCAGCGTTCTACAATAATTTACCTACTTACCCTAACTTGTACAATTAACCAAGTTAAGTGGTCCAGTAAGCTGACCGGGGTGTCACTAGCCAATCTAGAAGCTGTGTACACTAGGCAGCTAAAGAGAATTACAAATTCAATTTTAAATGACACTGCTCATCCCCTACATTCAGAGTTTCAGCTCCTTCCCTCCGGTCGTAGGTTTCTAGTATTAAGCTGTAAAACGAAACGTTACAAAAATAGTTTCATACCAGCAGCCATTAGACATTTAAATAAGACTTAAGCAGAGATGTTTCAGTGACCTGTATATTTTAAATCATTTTAAATATTTACTTGGGGGAGGGGGGTGGACACTTAAAGTGATTATTTATTTATTCTTTATGTTTATGTTTTATGTCCTAATGCGCATTTGTTGTTGTTACTGTGTGAGTTGCTTTGTGTGGCACTGTTGTAAGATGAGGACTCTTGACTGCAAATCAAGTCTACCTTCGGGTATAAATAAAGTAACCTAACCTAACCTAACCTAAATTGCACTTTACTAGTATCTTAAAAACATCTGGTAAAATATTATTTACTGTCTTCATGGCAAATATAAAATAAATCTGATATTAGAAATGAGTTATTAAAACTATTATGTTTAGAAATGTGCTGAAAAAAAATTATCCAGTCAAAAAGAAATTGGGGGGAAAAATATACCGGGGGGGTGGGGGGGTGGGGGGGTAATAAGGAGGGCTAATAATTATGACTTCAGTTGAATATTTATATTGATTTTCCAAACATTTTTTTTTTTCTGTAGTGCTGTCTGCAGTGTTCTCCACCAATGCCACTCTGGAACTCGTGCTGTGCTGCAGCTCACCGTCGGATGCACCAGCAGCTCCCTCCTCTCGTGTGCCCTGAATGTGGACTCATCTGTCAGACTCATGAGCTCAACACTCACCTCAAACAAACCTGCCTGCACTACTCACGCCGCCTTGGATACAAGTATGCGCTCAATCATGCTCACAATACTGCCAAAACCCTCAGTTTCAGCTGTGGTTTTTGGTAAAAGTGCAATCTCCTCTGTTCTTTGCAGATGTGCCTGTTGTCATTTGGTGTTTGGAGGAGTGAATAGTCAGAATGCGGTAAAGACGCACATGCAGACGGCTCACTGTGAGATCTTTCATAAATGTCCCTCCTGCCCAATGGCTTTCAAATCTTCTTCTGGTGCTGAAAGCCACTGCGCATCCCAGCATCCTGAGCTGTCTGAAAGTGCGAGACAGTCCAAGTAAGTGCAAGAATATTATAATAGTGATTAAATAAATGTCAAATAAAACCTGTTAATAATATGTACTCTCACCAGCCACTTTAGGTACACCTAACACTGCTTGTTGACGCAAATTGCTAATCAGCCAGTCCCATGGCAGCAACTCACAATCAAATCACATGTGCATTTAGGCATGTAAACATGTAAAAGACAATCTGCTGCAGTTCAAACTGAGCATCAGAATGGGGAAGAAAGTTAATTCAAGCGACTTTGAACATGGCATGGTTGTTGGTGCCAGATGGGCTAGTTGGGTATTTCAGAAACTGCTGATCTACTGAGATTTTCGTGCACAACCATCTCTAGTATTTAGAGAGAATGGTCCGAAAAAGAGAAAATATCCAGTGAGCGGCAGTTCTGTGGGCACAAATGCCTTGTTGATGCCAAAGGTCAGACAGGAATGGCCAGACTGGTTTGAGCTGATTGAAATGCAACAGTAGGGCTGGGCGATTTTTCAGTTTTTTTTTGATTAATTCGAATTTACGTTTTCAGACGATTTAATTTTTAATCAAATCGAGAAATCGCGATTTAAAAAAAAAAAATGTAATACATTATTATGGTACCAATGCGCTTTGGTTCCGCACAGCACCACAAATTTTAGAATTCTAAACAGGTTTCTATACACACACCGGCGCCGCCCAGCCACGATTCACGAAGCAGTTCATATTTCAGCCGCAGAGCGCCATCTGATTAGTTTCATGTTAAATATCATGCGATATCATGTGTGCGTTTGGTGTGTGATAGTTTAAACTGTTGTGTGCGCGCCGTGTCGCGGCACTTCTGATGTGGGACCTGCTTGACTGCCTGTTAAAGCGTGAAGTCATTTACTTGTTGCATTAGTCTGAGTCACGTCTGTGTGGATTGTCAAGACATTCCCTCAGTCGATAAACTCGATCTCAACATGTATAAATGACGTAAAACCCTGCCATGTGAAAAACTGCGCCGATCTTTTGGTTTGAACACGAGCAGAGGCGGGGCCTGTAGCAGTGAAAGTGAAAGTACCCGCCCCATGACGTCATTTAGCGGACCTAGTTGAAAACCAGACAGATCAGGCAGCATAATACAGAGTGCTGCAAAGCGCATCAAATGATCGGTATTTAAAAAAGGGAAAATAGATTAAATATATTATTTTATATTAGACACACATCTGCTGCTTGTATTTGCTCCTGCTATACATCCACAACTTCACACATTGGGTTAAATTAGGCTTTCTGCCACTGTATCTTTTTAAAAAAAGGCTGCAGCATTACAACTTGTCATTCAATCAGAAGACAAAGTCAAAGCCGAGCTGACAGCCAATCTTTCCTAGGCTCAGCAAAACTTGCAAAAAATACCTCTGTATTCCTGCAGCTGCAATATTTACACATATTTCTCATTCAAATCTTCAGCAACGCTATTTAACTCGTGAATTTGTTTTACATTTATTTACACCTTGACCGATTTTTGTATGACATGGCCATTAAAAATACAATGTTCCTTAACCAAATGGTTTTTCAAGTTACTTTTAAAGAGAATGTTACTTCAGTCATGTTGTTGGAATGTTTTGAGAAGACTAGTAACACAATAAAAAAAATCTAAATCGTGAATCGGTCAAACTTTATAAAAAAACCTAGATTTTTTTTTTTTTTTGCCAAATCGCCCAGCCCTATGCAACAGTAATTTCTTTGTCAAAGTTAGTCTGACTGACTCAATTGATAGAGGCCATGTGCTGTCCTAGTAGCGGTTTGAAATCCTGATCTGACGATAAAGAAGTCGCTAAACCATCTTTTTCAGTTGTGGGGATCAGTCTAGTATTCTTTCTGAACATTTCGTGACTATGTTATCACATAGTAAAAGTACTAAAACTTTTCTGATGAAAGTGTAGGAATTTCTTCTCTGCCAAAACAGATGGTAACAATATTAGCACATGTTGCTAAAACTTCCTGCCTGAACAAGAAATAACAAAAAATAGCTTGTATCGCTAAAACTTCTCTGGTTGAACAGAGGGAAAACAAATAAAAGAAAAGAAAATAGCACGTAAGGCTTCACTTCTCTGGATTTCAGTCTTCTGTGGCAAATTGTTGAGAAGTTGGTGATTTCAGTCTCTATCCTGGTCATGGCACCAAGTTGTTGTAAAAAAATAAATGGTGGAGATGAGAATCCAGTCCAGGAGACTCGAAACAAGCAGAATTTCTTTATTGAGACGTGTTGGTTAATCAGCAGTCAAACAGCTTCTTCAAGAAGTCCATGGGCTCTATTTTGACGGTCTAAGCGCAGAGCGCAAAACGCAGGGCGCAAGCGCTTTCAGGGTGTGTCAGGACGCGTTTTGGCTAATTTAAGAACGGGAAATCTGCCTTGCGCCAAGGCGCATGGTCTAAAAGGGTTGAGTCTATTTTCTTAATGAGTTATAGGTGTGTTTTTAGAGTAAACCAATTAGAGTCTCATCTCCCATTCCCTTTAAGAGTCAGCTGCGTCACGCCAAGAGCGCATTCGCTATTTACAGGACGCAAAGTAAGTCTAAGTGGAAAAAATGAGCATTTCATTAGCAAACAGTTAACAGTTGACAGTTTTTTAACAGAAAACTGTTAAACAGAGCATCTACTGCGTGAGAATGAGAGATAAATGATCTACTTTCACTTTCGCTCTTGGATAGGGAAACCTTTACGCACAGACATCAATTAGCCTATAAATAATTAATTTTGTTTGTTAAGCGCAAATATTTGTTTCAAAACTATTTCTAAATTCAGTTCTAATTTCTAGCAAACGAATAAATGAACAATAGTGATCAAGTGTGGTCAAAATACTGAGTTATTTCCAAATACACCTGCCATGCCCCATATGGTCTTAAACCTGACAAGGGGGGCAAATCTAAGCTTGTTTTTAATAAAACAAATATAAATATGAATATAATAAATAATACTGCTAATAATAATAATATTATACAAAAGCAAATTGTTATGAATGAACTGAAAACGCCTCCCGAGATGAAGAAGACATAAAAGCAGTGATTTTTCATATTTATATAGGCTAGAAAATAATATGTTTTGTAATATTTTAATCCTTTATATTTATATCATATATCTATTCTTATTATATCCTATATATATCCTTAATATTTAAATTTTTTCATATGTAAAGATATTTGCCTATTGCTCTCTTGTGTGTATTAAGCAGTGCGTCAGCGAGGCGCAACTCTACGCCGGAGTTTAGACTGGGTTAGTTTTGGTCTAATAAAAAATCTATTAGAGTTTCTCAAAATAGCGGCGCGCCAGCGGTCCGCCTCAGAACGCCTTCCTTTATAGACCAGAACGCCTATGGGCGCACAAATGAGCGCTAATGCATTTGCTATTTAAACAGCGTAGCGCAACGCCTCAAAACGACTCCTGCGCCAAGCTGAAACTACCAAAAGACTATTGCGCCGCGCCTTGCGCCCCACTGCGCCGGGTGTATGCAAGAGCTTAATGGAGTTCTGCAGTCTGCAAATTTTATCACGAGTCTGATTCAAGACAGAGATGTCATGACTATATTGTGTTCTTAGGAGGAGGGGAGATGGCTAAACAAAATATGCAAATTCAGCATTGGAGTCAGATTGATGGAAACCTGCCCAGCAACTGACCACACAAGTTAATCAACAAAAGGGTTTCTTTAGCATGAAAACATCACCTAAGACAAAGGCAGACTTGATAGAATTAAAAAAAAGTGTGCAAATGATGTTCTGGAGACAAAAACCGTCTGAACAGTTGACCGGCTTGAGAAGACAGTAGACACAACCGTTCTGTGAAACTGACAAATTGCATTACTTTGGAGACAGTCAGGGTTCAGGAAACTAAGACATTTTAAGGTCAGTCACACCCTATAAACAACTTTTCAGTTATTTATAGATTATATAAATTTATATTCCCACAGGTTTCAAGTGACAACTTTACATATTGATGTTTTATTTTGTACATTAGAATACTGATTTATGTTTTTTTTTTTTAACGAGACAATATTACGACTCAGAATAGAGTATGACTTTACAGATAAATCGTTTGATGATTTTATACTATATAATAATCATATTGCAGCCCCCAAATTACTATATAATTGTTTAAAATGTTTATATGTTGCCACTATTTTTCAATCCACTAGGTTTTATGAATTTTTCAACAAAATGTTTATGATTTTAATTATTTTAATAAGTAGAGGTTAGAGTGAGTAGGTTTCACTCAAATATTTAAAAATGGCAATAATTGCTGGAGCATTTCACACATTTTTATTTTTATTTTACTTTGACAAAAATGATTTAAAACATTTTAAGGATATCTATTAGCTAGTGATTTCCAAAACAGTGACAAAATACGCATTTAGAAAATATAAAACTTATTTAAATATCTAAAACATGCAGTTTGCCACTTTCGCCTAAATCAACTTCCGATCACCTTTTTTTTGTCACCTTGACCAATCAAATGCTCTCTAGTATCTGAAATGCCCTGCCCCCTTTTAGACCCTTCTCATTTGCTTTTCATTTGATGCACTTGATCTCAACCCATCTCAATAGCAAAGCTGTGTTAAAAATGAAAACCTATTGGCTGTTTTTAAAAGGGGTAGGAGCTACTATATGTCCCAATCTCTTTTCGTTTTTCAGCTGACATTACATCAGACATTAAATAAAAAAGCACATTTCAAAGCACTTTCATTGGATCTTTAATGATTTTAATGTGTTTTCTTATATTTGGTTTATATGCCAAAATGTATGTTTTTTGAGATTATAACCATTTTGTTTTTTTATTTTTTTACAGGGAGATCTATAAATGTGTGATGTGTCGGACTGTTTTCACCCAAAAATCATTGCTCAGTGTCCATATTGACACTCACTTAACCAAGCAGAAAATGCATGTCTTTAAGTGCCCAGACTGTAACAAGCTGTTTACGCAGAGAACTTCCCTCCTTGAACACGTTAAGGTTTGCTTTCTCTTCTGTTCAGCCCATCACGAGCTTCAGTTGTTGATGAGCTTTTTGAGTGTTTGACCATATTGCAATGCATCTCTAGGATACACACAGGGAGACAAGCAACCATGACGGCACGTCAACACAGAACAGCTTGGTAAAGATGGAGAGCTCTGATGGGGAGGAGTGGGGACGTGATGAAGAAGAGGACAAAGGGAAAGTGTCGGATGCAAACTCTGCTGTCCCACGTAGCCAGAGCTGGAGCTGCTCACAGTGCCAGACGCACTACACCGACAAAGAGAATTACATCAGTCATATGACTGAGCAGCACGGCAAGGTCAGGACATTACCAAGTACAACTCAAAAATTAGGAGATGAAATGTTTCAATAGGATAAACATTACAGTATTATTAAATAAATAATATAAAGCTTTACAATATTACTTTTTTGTACTTTATTTTTGATCAAATAATTTAATTTTCAAAAACTACTTCTGCTAACACCAAACATTTCAATGGTTGCTTGGTGTCATAAAATATATTTTTACTTGGTAATTAAATACACATTATTTATTAATGAGAATAATTTACAACAATGCACTAAATAGATTCATTAGACATTTATTTATTTTATGTTTATTTTATACATTTATATTTTACATATTTATATTTCCACTTGTCTGGAAGCAGCAAGCCAAAATCAAGCATATTTAGTTTTTATTCGACTCTGAAAATATCTGTATGATTAGTATATTACAAAAAACTAATTGTAATTTTTGTGCTGTTGTTCTTTTTATCTTGAAGGAACTGAAGAAATTTCCGTGCACTCTTTGTGAAGGCTCCTTCTCTTCATCCTCAAGTTTAAGACGCCACATTCGTGTCAAACACAAAGGCATTAAAAGAGTGTTTTATTGCCAGTGAGTATAACGTAAAAACAGCAGCCCTAGAGGCATTTGGATGCTTAAAATGTCAGTCAATTCGATGCTAACCAGATATCAAACCCATCATCATTTCAAACTAATAATATTGAACTGCTTCTAAAAATGCCATCTTATTTAAGTGAGCCATAAATTACCTCATAATTTACTCCTTCTCAAGCCATCCTCAGTGTATATAGTAGTCGAATCAGTCTTACATTTGGTCTTGGTTCTTCCATGCTGTTTAATGATGTTTGGTAGCGCCCATTTTTTAAGCTTACAAAAGTGCAAATATCTGTTGTAAACTTAACCCACAAATTGCCAAAGGGTTATCGCACGTTTTATAAAGTGGTCACTTTGTTTTTCAGAATTTTTTTTTTTAATTCTAAAAACAAATCACTTACCTCAGGCAGCTTCCGAATGCATGTTCTCGACAACTACTTGGCTGAACTCTGACCTCATGTATGATGCATGACAAAAGATTCATTTGTAGCAGAAGCTTCGGTGAGAGTTGATGAACGAGGATAATAAAACGTCAATAACTAATTAACATATCATGTTTGTTGTGTTTTTTTTTTCTCAACCATTAATTATCATCATTGTCATGCAACCTTTAAATTCACAAATATCTTTTATTAGAGTTTTTTCCTTTTTATCATGGCATAAACAGGATGTGTGTTCTGTTGTCTCTCGTTGTGAAGGCTTTGTACAGGTGAGAAGAGGAGCTTTAGCAGTAAGCTGATTCTGGAGAAACACATTCAGGCTCAGCATGCAGGAGAGAGAGGAACCGCCACACAGAGTCAGGTAAGAGTTCTAATGCACTTTCAGGTGGACATAATGGACACACAGCCATAGATTATTATGGCCGGAGGTATTGCTGCTTGCAGATGCTGTAATGTTGTTGGTTAATTGTTCAACAGGTCATACATTACTTTTGAAAATATGATCACAAAATTAAATATTTGACCGTCACCTCATTGCACTAGTGCTCCTTCGCATAGAGTAAAAGACTCTGGACACCCTGTACAAACACTATATGCCTGTTCACAAACAGACAGAGTCAACAGAGAGAGTAAATATAAAGTAAAAAAAAATGTGAAGATCCCCTATTTTGCTTTAAAAAAAGGTCATATTTTGGTTTTGGGGGTCTCCAACAACATGCTAATATGCCTGCAAGGTCAAAAACACTTTTATTGTCTTATTATATTCATTTATTTTTAACTAATTATCCCAATGACTCCCATATGAATCGTTCAGTGATTCAAATGTTCCCAAACCCCTCCTTAGCGCGAAGCTGAACTGCGCTGATTGGACCGATGACCCAGTCTATTGCGATTTGGTCGACTGCGTTCAGCACGAGACAGAGAATAGCCCACCACGGCTACAGTATGAAGTAGCAGAAAGTATGTGAGAACCCAATGCAGGAATGCAATAAAGCAATTTAGTTAAACACCAGCATATTACTTTTTTCTTAATGCTAACCCCAAGTAATAAAAACACAGTGGCAATTGTTGAACTTTTTTAAAAACGTTAACCGGTTCAGAAACGCATTAAAATTGGTAAAAGAAGAAGCACGCGTCACGTTTGTAATGTGGTTTTGGATGCGATATACAAGCCACGCGGGGCTATTACAACTTATAACACAAATTAAACACATATTTTGCAAACTACACAAAATGAGGCAAAATTTTTTATTACACTTACATGTTATGATCCGGAGGAAGAAGAAACTGGTCCACTTGAACTGTTAAAGTTACTGACAAAGTCCCACAGTCTCTGATGCTCCTTCAATAGCAAAAGGCCGACAAATCCCACGTTGTGATAATGCGATCAAACAAAAGATTCGAAAGATATTTTACTAAAGAATCATTAGTTTTAAACATGCTGCACTTTAAGATTTAAACCTCAGCTGGATGTTTTCATTCACTTAATGCTGTGTTACACACTGCATGGAAGGTTATTTTCAAAAACCCATAATAGAGGCTCTAAAAAATAGGCCCACACTATGCAATATTTTGACACAATCAATTATTACACATTTGAATAAGAAATCCACTGATCATTGGTTATTTCACACGTTAATTAATAAGTTTGATTGCTAACGATAGAAATAGTGAATAAACTGAAATCACGTCATTTCGCACATTCAAAGTTTGTTTTGAGTTTGTTACTGCAGTTGAAAACAGCTCACCAACTCAAACTTTTTTGGGAGACTTTGTTTTGGCTTCTAAACAAGCTACCATTGGTCAGTGGTGATTACGCAGTCAGTGTGTTCTTTAACTTTTTTTAGGAAATAATCAAATTATACGGCGGATTGTATAAAACATTAAAAATGCTGAATAAAAAGGAAAAACTCACTGCCATTCTTTTTGTTTTTGTTAAGTGGATGCACACTTTTTCCGTTCCATTGAATAGATCAGTGATACAGCCAGATGTTAACGAAACTAATCTCTCGCAGATGTCATCGTTGTTGTGTTTAGAGGATACATGCAGCAGTGTGACATGTTTAAAAGCCTGCTTGGTGTTTGAAAGCAGTATTTCATTGCTCAGCCTTTTTGCTCTTAAATGAAGAATGGAAAAGAGCTTTGTTTGAAGGATAGTGGGGCCTTAAAACTTACAAATTAATGAAATGTAATTGTACATTGGCTTGACTGCTAATATTGTTGCTGAAGTATAGCTATTTCTGTGATTTTACAAGACCGATTATTGTTGTTTTTGGGAAATTATTATATTACAATATTTCAATAAAAAAAGGACAAAATGTCTAATATAATTCCACCAAATGTTTCTTTGTTTCTATCAGGCAGTTCCTCAATTCACAGATGGAGCTGACAGCTCTTCTGAACATGATGCTGGCGTTCTGGGCGGGTCGTCGGTGGAACCCGAAAGCCGATTGGCTGAGAGCACACTGACACGCCGCATTAAAGGAGCTCCAGTCGGGGAGCAGGAAGCCAAAGGATTGCGTTGCATGCCATGTGGCTTCACCACAGAGGACCGAGAGGAATTTCTCCAGCACATCGTCTGTCATCGTGACGGAGGAAGCGGCGCTCAGTGTCAGCAGTGCGGAGCATGTTTTGCATCTTCCTCTTCCCTCAGCAGGCATCTCTTCATCAGTCATCGAGTGCGGGATTCTCCTTCTGATCACGCTGAAGCAGCTCTGCACACCTGTGCCACTTCTGTGGCCTCTGACTCTGCGGCCGCAGGAGGCTCTCCAGGGTCTCCGCTGAGTGTTGTTGGGGGACTACTGGAGGACGGTGAAGGTAAGCACATCTGTAAGGTGTGTGGACGTTACTTTAGCAAACCTGCTGATCTTAATACGCACTTCAGAACTCACGGCATGGCCTTCATCACTGCGTACAAAACAGACAAACCAGCATAGAAAGAGAGAGTGATGTGAATAAATTAACTTGAGGGAGAAACTCGCGTAATCTGTTAAGAACTTGTCTAGGTTCTCACACCAAAATCGGTAAAAAATAAATAAATGAGATATATTATATATTTTCCAGGAATACAAAACTAAAGATCTTTTTAGCGAGACTTTTTTTTTTGAGAGAGAGAGAGAGATTTTCCTCTCCAAATGTCCAAGAGTGCTGAGAAAAGCACTATATACATGCAATTAATACATTTTTGTAAATTATTGCTTTTTTTACTTTTTTATTTAAGCATAGTCATTCTCAATACTGATATGAAAAATTAAATACACATTATATAAATTATTGCCCTTTATACTGATTAAATTAAAGTTAAATACATGAGAGATTTACCATGATACAGTAATAAAATACTGAATTACTATAATGAAAATGATAATTACACAATTAATGTGAACATGAGGAGAAAATTAAAATGTGTTGCCAATTAACTCAACCTCAGACCATCCAAGATGTAGCTGACTTTTCCTTATAATATATATTTCTTATATGAATATGTATTTTTCTTTTTATTATCAAATGCAATAAGGAAGATGGCTCCAGACTGGCACGAATGTGAATTAAAGATATTCATTTTGTAATTAATGTTAAAAAATTAACAGTAAATTTTCTTTTTTTTTCTGAGAACAATCCCTTTAAGTCGTTTAGAAAGTCATTACTCATGCAACACATTATTTGTTGTAAATAATGTTCAAGTGTCTTACAAATTAAGCTACTTTTCATTTTTGGAGAGCAATCCAAATCCATTCAGTTAGACACAGTTTTGTGCAAAATATATATTTTTTTTCTTATGCTCGTTTTTTCCTGATTGTGAAGGTGAAATGCGAGTAGATTCTACATTATACAAACATGATAGATTTCACATTACATGTCATTCAAACTCTAGAGACCTAAAGTATTTGGGTTTGTCACAGGTTATTAACACTCCACATTTACACACAAAATGTAAACCACTGTTTCAGCGCAACATGTTCATTATAACTTAGAAACTCTGTTAGTGCAGATACTGCTGTTTAACAAGAAGTGTTTAGGTAAGGTTTGATCAGCCTAAAAAGTGATCACAGCAAGCACTTAATTCACTAAAATCAAGATTCAGCCTTGCTTTATATACCTGTGCCTACTGATTCCATTGTGCAAACAAATAACCAAACAGTCTGTTTTTCTGAATGCAAAATACAGCTGATTATGAGTGAAATACTGTAATTACTAACACTTGAGCACAGCCAAATGCTCCTGCATCAGGTGACTCCTTTGTGCTTGAATCATGTTTACTTGGTAATGTCTGTACTTGCTCTATTTGTGTTTCCACAGAGGCATTAAAATCAGGACATTTGCTGAATAGTTGCTGATCTTTTGAATGAGAATGAAATAAAGTGCCTTCTTTATTTAGCGTTAGACTCGTACAGCAAGGTTTGCTCTTAAAGGCCTCATGATTGTTTCCTCAATGAGAAGAATCTGTATTGTGTGCGATGTAGATTAAGAAAAGTTGTATTTGTATGTTTGTGATGTACTTGTTTAAGGGCCTTACACATATTTACTGCAGGTTTTCTGTTTAAAGTTGATTAATAGAGCTTTGTTGTACCATAAACCTATTTTTTTTTTAGATGAATAAAACTGTAATGGCTTAATAATCAGTATTCTGTTTCAGATTTATGTTCTGTTTTCGTTTGTTCTGGTACACTTTTGTTCCTGAGTTTGGTTTGTCTTCATTACTTTTAAGTTTGGGTTATTAATATTAAGCTGTTAGTTTTTGCTTTGATTAGCTTTCCTCTTATTTTTATGCAATCAATACTGTTTTTGTTATGTGTTGTTTGTGTCTGGATGTGTGTAGATTCTTTCTTTATCACCTGTGTGGATTAAAGCTCCTTTTTAAATGTATTCTTCTTTGTGTCTCCTTTGGTTTATACGACTGCATGGCTGGTTGTGAGAACACAAATTTAAAGTCATTACCCCCAACATAGGACTAGGCCAGGGGTGGCCAGCCCTGTTTCTGGAGAGCCAACTTCCTGCAGATTTCAGTTGCAGCACTTATCAAACACACCTGGCTGTAATTATCACGTGGTGTTCAGGTGCTAATTAATTGGTTCAGGTGTGTTTGATATGGGTAGCAACTGAAATCTGCAGGAAGGTGGCTCTCTAGGAACAGGGCTGGCCACCCCTGGACTAGGCGATTTGGCCTAAAATCAAATTTTTAATTAATTGAACATTTTAACTTAATTATGATTAATGAATGAATATTTTATTTTATGATTTTTTTTCGTTTTTGCCCTCATAGTTCACTGACAGGTTTTGGGCAGTAATTGTATTACAAGTGAGAGAATTTTTAATGAGGGGTGCTTAATTTTATAATTGAAACAAACACACACTATCTATGATTATTTATTGAACATTAACGCTGAACAACTGAAAGTAAAACACATTGCCTGAAACAAGGCTCTCTGCGCCGCCCACCATTGTCGCCGCTACCAAACCAACTAATCACAAAACTTGCAATACGCATCAATGTGATGTGTGTTTACATTTTTTTAAAAAGGTACGCAGGTATGCGAAGACTGTCGGACTGTACATGTGCCCTTGGCAGAAGTATAATGTCAGAATAATATAATTAATAGAAATCATAAATAATAATATGTATAATTCAGCTTTAACAGAGCGTGGTCATGTGACTCCACACACAGCCGGGAAAGTAATTAAAAACCAGACTTGAAAAAATCAGACTGATTATGGGTTCTGAATGTCGATTTCGATTACTTTTCGATGAAGTGCCCAGTTTTTTTCCATGATTGGGCCCTAGTTTGGACATCTCTGCCCTAAACTGTTCTTATTAACTAACCAAGCACAGGCTGCTATGTTTTATGTTGGTATGTTGCTTGTCAATAAATGTAGTTGTCATATGATATTTGTAATATACATTTTTAAAAGCATGATTAATAAAAGGCTTCAATTAGACCCTGTAATTGGTGATTGGTATCGGCTGATATGGCTTCAAGTGATCGGAGCACCTCTACTAACCTCACACAATTTTATTTACTGATTACAGAATGCCTACTTAATATGGTTCCAGGCGATTGGCTTTATATCAGAGGTGCCCAAACATTTATGTTATTAAGGGCCAAAAAACAAACTTGACTGAGTGTTTTGGGCCGAAGGTACATATAGCAAACAGTATTTCATTAAAGTTGCCATGGATAATTTCCTAATATTTGAAAATAAATAGCAAAAAGGACTTTAATCAAATTACCTAATGCATTATAATATCCTGTAATGAATTTATTACAATAAAAACAAACAATTCATGTGGTAACACAATGGAGTTCAATGCTGTATACACTAGGAAAGTTGCCGATGTCTTGTGCATTGTCCTCTATCAGTCAAGTGTCAGTATTTACATAAAAACAAGAAAATCTCATTCATTTACAACATTTCATTAAAACATTTAATTTCAGTGAGCGTTTCTATAGCTCAACAATAAAACAAACAAAATGTCAAGTTAAATCAGAAATGATTTAAGAACAAATGATTTAACAGAAAATCTGTTAAATCTAAATAAATAAACACCTGTCATTCTCCATCTCTTCTCAGATGGTACAGTGGGCCAAATCAAAAGTTACAAAGGGACAACTTTGGCCCACGGGTGCTAGTTTGGGCATCTCTGCTTTATATAGACAAGTTTACAATTAGGGCTGCATGATGTTGGAAAAATCTGATATTGTGGTATTTAGTTTTTCTGCAATAAGTATATAACGAGATGAATACAATTTCGCCAGATGGTTAGAATAGATCTATTTGGAAAGAAATCCTTCATTTAGATTGATTGGGATGATTTTGGAAGGGTGTGAGTCAAGCAAGAATAATTACAAAAGAGCGAAAAAAAGTTAAATTAACAGTGCTTTATGGATTTCCTAAAAGTCAAACAGTATTCAGGTACAGAAATTGGATAATGAAATGCTAAATAACACTGTACAGTCTTTGTAGTCATAATAATTCAGTAAAATAACTCTTTATTAAAGTTACAAATTTATTTCTTTTGTGCCCTAATGCTTTATACTTTGAAATGTCTTTCAAACACACGCTGATGATAAAGTCTCACACTATTATAGTTATACTTTGCAACGAACAATCTCATGTACTGTCAATTGTTATGCTGTTCAACTATAATCCCAACTCTTGCATTTACTGCGATGTGATTATTGCGAACACACATATTGTGATATCAATGCTGAAACGATGTATTGTGCCGCCTCATTACAAATATATATTCGATGCACAGAAAATTAGATGATTGTAAAGCTTACTGAATTTTCTAAGCTCAACAGGCTGGGACAAACTGACGATGCTTGGTGGAAGAATGTGGACTAGGAACAACAGCAGCAACGATGCTCATGGACAGACAATACAAGCGAACCCCTTGTCAAAGTTGTGTACAGTGAGTGTAGTCAATAACTCATCGAACTATCAGCTGCTATTCCTGCTCTGATGTTGGTTTTATTTGAAATTAAGAACCAGTCGTCGACCCCAGTGGTGTAAGAGGTTAGTGTGCTGACACACAAGTTTGATTCCTACCTCTATGCCAATCCTTCCCCTGACTCTGCTCTCCATGCTTTCCTTTTCACACTCTCTACTGTTTTATCAATTAAAGGTGAAACCCCATAAAAATAATTATATATAAAAAAAACTATCAGATGTGACTGACCAAAGTCTGATTATAGATCATGTAGGCCACATTACTCCCTAAAACGGGTGCACAATTCTTTTTTGCATTTAATTAATTTCATTTTTAAAAAATCTGTAGAAATAATGGCTGTTATCTGGCTGCAGACTTATCAACTCTCAGAAACTCATTAGAGCTAGTGACATTACTGTGAGAGGTAGGATTAGGTGTTCACAATAAAAGTATGCGTTTAAGAGTGCATGCCTCAGTGTGCAAGTGCACTCGGTCTGCAGCCTCGATAATGCCACACCATTTGCAAACAAGACCATAGCACAATTTTTGGGCTGTGATTTGCAAAAACATGTATTTAGATTGCAGAAAGTGGGGTGAAGTGTTGTGAGCAAACAGGTCTGTCATGGTTCAATGAACTGCTTATTGTTTTGAAAAACATGAGAAAGAGGAAAAGAGCAGAAAGTAACTTGAATCCATTTGAGATTGGGACTAGAACCACGACTATATCTGGGGAAATATTGTGCATTTCTGAGTGTGCTTCACACTGGTGAGTGGGCTTGACAAAGCACCTGCAGGACACACTCTTTCCTCTCCATATGCACCAGACACTTTCCTAAATAAACATTTTATTACAAAGATTTAATAATAAAATATATAAAATAACTTTGATTTGTAATGGCATTTATATATTGGTGCTCTGGGGTGATCTGAAGTGCTTCTTTTACCCTCATTCATAAGTGGCCTTAAATAAAGGATCTGCTAAATGAATAAATGTACCCACATAGCAAAATTTCTCTGGCCCAGCTCTGGCCCACACAATCAGGTTTTGCTTGGCCCACATGCCGCAGTGAATTACGGTACATGACTGGACCAAATCTGGCTTCCAGACAAGGGCCAAACACGGACCATATCTGGGCCAAGTCTCAGCCAAGTTAATAACTCATAACTGGGCCTGAACTGGGCCAGATAGGTTGGTGTGTCACGATTGCAATGAAATTGATAAAGCCATGGAGTGATGCGCTTTAGGCACACTATGGGCACGCTTTTTCTCAAAGTGACCTGATTGGTAGAATTTTTTTTCTTTACTCAAAAATGATTTTAGTGTATTTTAAATGTGGGTCAAGACTGGCCAAACTCACATGGCCCACTTATCAAATTTTTAAATCTGGGCCAAATACTACGTTTTTCATCTGGCCCAAATCTTGTGTGCCGCCTTAAAGACGGTGCCACCTCTGCCAAACCCGGGCCATGTTTGGCCCACATGCTGTATGCCAGTGCCAGATGAATGCCTGCTGTGCCAGCTTTATGCCAAATCTGGGCCAGAATTCTTTGCTACTAGGGTATATATCTCAGCTGGTTGGTCAAAGACACTTTTCAGACTACAGCTGAAAGTCTTGCATGATGACATAGTGGTGGTCAAGGACTCGAGAAGAAACATTGGAAGTCCAAGAGGTTGGAACAGCCCATCCCAGGCCTTGCTAATAAAGCACACAGCAGTGGAAACGGCAGAGAGAGCTACATGGACACACACCAGCCACTGCAGGAAGGTGCTTAACACAAAAGAGAACACTGAATCAATAAAAGGATTGACCAGCGTTCCTTGTGTCAATTTCAGACATACAGCTGGTCAAATTATTAGCCCCCCTGAATTATTAGAGCCTGTTTTTTCCCCCAATTTCTGTTTAATGGAGAAGATTTTTTTCATCACATTTCTAAACATAATAGTTTTAATAACTCATTTCTAATAACTGATTTATTTTATCTTTGCCCTGATGACTACATAGTATTTTACTAGATATATTTTTAAGGCACTTACAGCTTAAGGTGACTTAAAGGCTTAACTAGGTTAATTAGGTTACCTAGCCAGGTTAGGGTAATTAGGCAAGTTATTGTGTAATGATGGTTTGTTCTGTTGACTGTCAAAAAAATTAGCTTAAAGGGGCTAATAATATTAAGTTTAAAATGGTGTTCAAAAAATTAAAAACTGCTTTTATTCTAGCCGAAACAAAACAAATAAGACTTTCTCCAGAAGAAAAAATAATATCAGACATACTGTGAAAATTTCCTTGCTCTGTTAAACATCATTTGGGAAATATTTAAAAGGTTAAAAAATAAATGGGGGCTAATAATTCTGACTTCAACTGTACATGTGCAAGCATGTATGCAAGTTAAACATGGAGCAAAAACAATACTGTAGTAGTAGTAATAGTAGTAG